TGTGTGTGTGTGTGTGTGTGTGTGTGTGTGTGTGTGTGTGTGTGTGTGTGTGTGTGTGTGTGTGTGTGTCACCTGTAGTCCAGCAGTCTCTCCATCAGTCGTGTGACGGAGGTGACGAAGGAGATCCCTGTCTCTCTCCACGTCTCCTGCTCGATCTTCTCCAGCAGGCTGCAACAAAATAAAAACGTTCAAAAAAATTAGATTAAAAAAACGTGATAAAAGGTTTTTGATAAAAAAAATTAGATTCCAAAAATTAGATAAAAATATTCATTTAATTTGTGAAACTTAAGAGATATGCTTTTACGCTATGATGAGAAAAACCTTTTTGAAACACAGATTATAAATACAAGTACAAGTGGGTCAAAACTGTAAATTAACTTAGTTATGTTCCAACAAATGATGAATAAAAGGTGAGCAGATTTGAGTATTTAATGACATCACGGTTTCAGACTGCTCACTGATGAAGGACTAATTAATGCTTTTCTTAACATTCATGCAGAAAAAAGACGGATAAAGTCAAAGAAGACACACAAGGAGATATTTTCCCAGCTCTATCAGACTTGTTTATAAGAGATCCATGCAGGTGTTACCTTTGTGTTGTCTAGGAATGACACATGTATGATTATTAGAAAGCATACAAGAGCAGATGTGAGTAGTTAATGAAACGTCCTACCTGGGGTACGGCCCAAACAGCTGCGTTCTAATCCCGCAGCACAAAGCAAACACAGCAGCAGAGTTAGAAGCAGAGTTAAAAGCAGAGTTAGAAACAAGGTTAGACGACTTGTTGTTTGTTGTTGTTTGTTGTTGTTTGTGTCTTACAGTAGACCGAAGAGCTCTCTGTAGTTCTCGTCTCCTTTCCCCTCAGACACCAAACTGTCCAGTTTATCGATCAGCTCCGCCTCCACCTGCATGCACAACCATACTTGTCAACCCTCCCGATTTTCGCGGGAGACTCCCGATTTCATTGCCCTCTCCCGGTTTCCTCCCGGGGTCATATTTCTCCCGCATTTCTCCCGATTTCTGACAAAATCAGATTTACACACGACTGTTTCCACTCGGACTTTAATACAGCTACGCCATTGTTTGGTTTCCATGGTAACACGTCTCTTTAGTAGCGCGCGCAACTCAAAGTCTGAGAGGGTGAGGCAGATATTCACAGAAAACAGAACAAGAATCGACAACTACTCTACTCTCTGCTCACTCCTTTCCTGTAAAATACAGGTCCAGCCCACACATATGCTCCATCAAGGACGGTGCTACAGGCCGCAAGGCAGTGCACTTACAACTACAATAAGCATGTTAATGTTAATCTAAAAGCTCCGGCGATCCACTAGCATCCCCCCCCCCAATTTTGCATTTTGAAATGCTCCCGATTTCTGAGGTCTAAAGGTTGGCAAGTATGTGCACAACACATAAAGAGATGAAGAGATGAAGAAACACTGCAGGGAGAACACCATCTGTTTCACGCACTGATCAAATCGTCTTCCTGGAAAATACGTGTTTCTTTTACAAACCTTGTCTCTTCGTCTACATTTTTCTTAGATTGCCCGATTTTTCCTAAATTCCAAGATTTCTTCTTAATTTCCTGATTT